GGGGGGGGGGGGGGGGGGGGGGGGGGATAAGTAACTGACACTGCAAATATCCTATCTCTACAATTTAGACCCATAAGAAAGATCTTATAATCTGCAGCAACCGTTGTTGTTAGTCTGATGAATGCCACTCCACGGGGGAATGTGGTTGGGGTTAGTCATTCTCTGCAGATCAACAAATCTCATATATCCATCCTGCTTTCAAATTTTCTTTTTGGACAAAGAACCCACCCACCCCTCACGCCAATCTCTAATATGATCTTTTGATATCTAACCAGTAAATAAAAAGTACAACAACAAACACAATGTAATCCCACAAATGAAAGCTAAGGAGGGTAAAGTTGTTTTTGATAGACAAGGTAAGAAACTTATCAATGAATTACATAAAATTTTCATCATCCCAAAATTTTCCTTCATGCCAACTGTGATCGGGTGAAGGTGAGGAAGAGTTCAACAGCAAGAGCTGATGAAAGGGAACAGTCATTGATGACAGTAAGGCAGCTATAGGAAGAGCAGGCAATTACTTGTTCGCGCCTTTAAAGAAGACATTTTCTTTTCTAAGGTGCTCTCTGTACAGAGAAAAACGTTTTAGATGAAAATACTTTTTTGTGAAAAACATCTTTTAAGTCAGGTCACCATTTTTTAGATCATCTCCAATGTTTGTGGGTATAATAATAGATAGTCGTAGTAATCGTGCAATGTGCAAGACTGCAAGGTATGCTATTAGAGTTTTGACGATATCTTTTAGAATTAGATACTGAAATTATATCTGACAGATCGTTTGGTTAAGTATAAGAAAAGTATCAATATGGTGTATTAGTAATGCTGGGACATGGTATTACTTATGCAAAATTATACGTGCATAACTCACCTCCAAACCAGCTACCAAACTACACTTAGTGTTGATTGAATGGTAGAATATTTTGTAAAGAAAAATGAACCCATTAGGCATAAGATATTTTCCACGATTGAATGCAATTAAGCACTACAAAATATTTTCCTTGACTAAAACATTTTTTGCGAATAACTTTCCCATCAGTGCCAAACACACCTATATCTTAACCATTTTCATCAACAACAAAAAAAAATCCAAACCCCAAACGATAGAAAAATAGGAACACACATTTGGCTTCATTAACATGTCGTGCCAAAACTAGCTTCAATGTTTGACCAAACTAAAATTCTGATAGATGATAACACCCTGTAATAATATTACATTCTCTAAGGATCGCCTAGTCTACTGAACAAGCATACATAGTCCAGAGATAAATTTAGTAGTGC